GTTCATACGTAAATTCAGTTGTTTGAAATTGCTTCGGTCCAAGTTTTGCGTCTCCTACATGTGTCGGTAAAAAGTCTTCTAATCGTAATGACTTAAATATATCAACTATAAAGTCATATATAAATAGTTATTTATTTCATATCCCATCTACGTGATATAATGGTTCTCCCGAACATTTATTTCAAGGGCAATACTTCAAAGATCAAATCATCATTCACACACACACCTGCTTTTGGGTATGTGATATATAAAAAATAAAACTCCCACATAGGACTAAACTGTGATAACCGAGTTATTCGGTTATATTGGTCGGGGTTGGTTTTGAAAGAAGATGGTAAGTGGGGTTTTAATGTGTTAATGTGCTTAAAATGTTATTATATATGAGATATTTGTTTTATCTCATGGGTGGGTGTGATTAATTATTTTAAAAATCTTTACCTCTTCATTGTTTTAAAATAGTATTATTAGGAGATAATTGTCTATTATCTCATTGAGATGTGGATGAAGTAAATAAGAAAGACAATAAAGCTTTTCTGTATATGTGTTCTCTTGAGTGAAAAACAGACCTGTAAGGGAGAGGAAGAAAAACTGATTACGTGATTTCTATTTGAAATCTTGTTGCTGTGTTAATTCATCTTCGTCTACATGAAAATAAGGTGAGTTTAATTTATCAACTTTCCTTATTTGATATTTGATATTTGAATCGTATGGTTCTTACTTGAGGATGATGATAAAAACTGTTTTTGGATGCTTTTTGAGCATGATGGTGAGACTTGATATAGAACCTTATGGTTTTTTATATGAGTTACTATTATGAAACTGTTTTGATGCTGTCATTGGCAAAATGGTGGTTTTTATTATGATTATATCATGTGATGTAATAAAGGTTGCATAATCAGGAGCTGTGTAAATTTGTAATACAGGTGGCATAATCAGGAGCTGAGTAAATTTATAATAAATGTGACATAATCAGGAGTTGCGTAAATTTGTAATAATAGTGGCATAATCAACTTTTGGAAATGATGATCTTTTTGATCATGGGGTTTTGTTRTCGCATCCTTATGATGCAATGATCATGAGTTATCGCATCTGTGTGATGCGAGGACTTGGGTTATCACCTACTATTGATGTGATGAAATGAATTGTTTTAAGGACCAGATGAGCTTTGGTTGGAAATGGCCTTACTTTTGATTATTATTTGAACCCTGGAAAATATTCCAATGTATGATAAAGGAACTAGAGGGGCACTGGTTGATCTTCATATTTAACTAGAGGGGCACTGGTTGTAATTGAAAGTCATTCTTTAAGTATTCTTGACCCAGAAGGCTTTGGTCCTAGACGAACTAGAGGCTCTAGTTGGCTAGAAGGGGCTCTGGTTGGTAAGCTAGAGGGGGCTCTGGTTGGTAAGACCAGAAGGCCTCTGGTTGGCCTTGCTTAAGTAGCCTTGTTTTTTATTGGCTTTGCTCTGGTTGGTAGGACCAAATGAGCTCTCGTTGGTCTTGCTCTGTATGATGCAAGTTTTACCTCTGAAGTGTAACTCTGAATAATGACTTTTCAGACTTATAACTCTGAAAAATGACTTTTCAAACTTGTAATTATTAAGTATAACTATGAAGAATGACTCTTCTGACTTGTAACTCTGAAGTATAACTCTGAAGAATGACTTTTCAGACTTGTAACTCTGAAGTATAACTCTGAAGAATGACTCTTCAGACTTGTAACTCTGAAGTAGAACTATGAAGTCTGAAGTCGAACTATGAAGTCTGAAGTCTTCCTTTTCAGACTTAGCTTACCTGAAGTCTGAAGTCTTCTTTTTCAGACTTAGCTTACCCAAAGTCTGAAGTCGTCCTTTTCAGACTTAGCTTACCCAAAGTCTGAAGTCTTCTTTTTCAGACTTAGCTTACCTGAAGTCTTCTTTTTCAGACTTAGCTTACCTGAAGTCTGAAGTCTTTCTTTTCAAACTTCCATACTTGGCCCAAATTGGTTTAATAAAACTTTCATGATATTTAAGACAATTTTGGCCTAACAGTTGGTATTACAATATGGATTTATAACTCGATTTGGTGATTTTCGCCCTATAATTGTATCAAAAGGATTTCTCATTAGACCTCAAGGTTTAACCCTTATTTTGTGTTTCAAAAATATGCATTTCATGTCGGGCTCAATCTAAGGATAAGGGAAAAGGGAAATTATGAGATGTTATATATGCTTACATGAAATGTGGAGGAGATCATGTTTATCTGTGATCTTTTTGAAATACTGGTTATATTATATACAAGTTATGTACATGGATGTTATGGAAAAATTTGATAGCTACTTTTATAATGTAGTTTTTATATATTCGGGACCAAATATGTATATTTGTGTTTCTTGATATATGAAATACTTGGTTATATGCTAATGTGATTTTAGGGGTGTTACATAAACAAACTAAGAAACATCTTTGCGGTTTAGGTTTCGACTCGACTTCATTTTTGTATCTGAAGCATAAAATCCATATTTCCAACAAAACTAAGTATTAATTATATTTCATATTACCCAACTTTTGTATTTGTTTATTTATTTATTTATATTTTATATTATTCAACTTTAGAATTAATTAAATTTGTTTTTCCTTGTATTTAGTGCACTTCAACACCTATTCCATCTGTTAAAGGAGAAAAAGATATATATTCTCACTTCTTTCCAGATTCAGTTTTTGGTTTTTTTATATTCTCCTTATATACAACTGTTTGATTAAGATTGAAGAGACGTTTACCTAAATGCTTATCTGGTAGACGCTTATCAATAAGAATCAACACTATAATTTATTTAGATACGTAAGATTTTAGTACATCAAAGTATATCGAATGCAACAATTTACTAGGTAAGCGCTTATTTGGGTAAGAGTTGTCATCCTTACTTACCGGGTAAGACTTTCCATCCTTCTCATCGCTCTTACCTGGTGTGATTCTTGACCCTTCTCATGTTCATCTGATGAGGAAATTTATGCGTTAAGCACTTACCAAGTAAATGTTTAGTAAACGGCCTCTGAGTTGGGTTGAAAGTATGGAATGTTTTTGCGCCTATCACCATCTTCAAAAAAAAGTCTTTTACACCCCTCCCTTGGATGAACTATATAGCCAAAAGAAACCGTGGACCAGAATAAAATAGAAGAGCTTGTCCCACCCATAAGTAAATATTTCATAATAACTTATTTGAAAAAAAAATAGATAAGATTTTGTCCCATCGGCTCTAAAAAATCTTGTTTTCTTGAACATGAAAAAATGAAGCAGTCAGTCATTGTGAAAGGTATAATGATCTGGGCTTTGTTGTTCTTTGGGATTGGCTTGAAGAACGTGTTGATCCAAGTCAACATATTAACCCCGATAAAATTCAAATCAACTTAAATTCGTTGTGGCAGTTATTGTTAGCATATGACTTGGAGTTTGTAATTTCAAAAAAATAGACCTTGGACTTTGAATATTTAAATTTTGCTGCGACTATCGGTATCTGTTTCATCCTTCAAAATCATAGCATATACTGTATATGATAGAATAGGTCTACAACTCTCATTTTTTGTTCATGGAGGATGAGTTTTCCCATGCCTGTTAAATGAGTTTATAAGCTTCGCCAGTAGCAAGCAGGACAAGCTCGCTTAGCTTCGTAGACTAGGTTCATTCTATACTTCAACTACAAAGAAATATACAAATCTCATTTTTTTTCTATCGATATTATGGGACGAGTAATCACGTAAAAAGTTACGTACATTTTTTTTTTCAAAATCCGACATAATAAACATACACATAATATTTGAAATATAAAACTTAAACAATCAACTATTAAGGGGCTTTTTGCCATTACCTTATAAACCAAATTAATCAAAAGTTTTAAAAACAATTTTTAATGCACAAAGTACTATACATTTATGCATAAAGTCTTAAAAAAACAACTCATAATGCATTAAATACTACTACTTTATGCATTTAGTCTTAAAATCTTTTAATCTACAATTACAATAACATATAGTACAAGTTACCGATGCACATTATCACCTTTTCTTTTCATGTTCCCAAAAAACTTTTGACACATTTCACTCATGTCTTTACCCTCTCATACCTCTATGTCTTCTCCCCATCTTCCAAAGTGAGATTTAAACTGATATTCACCATGAGTTATTAAAAGTTCTTTCATTCATCTCTCATTCAATTGCTCTAGAACTTTCGGTCTCGCTCTCGATCTTTTGATTTTTTGCTCTTGGTGTAAATCGAACACATTTGTGGAATCGTTTAAATATGTTGGATTTTAAATATATTGGATTTTAAACTATCATACAATTTTTTTTGATCGATAGACTGTAATTGGAACCATAATTCTTATTTATTCAAGTTGTATTAATATGTAAATACCAAGTGTAACTTATATCATCGTCAAATCTTCTCTAATAAAACCAGTGAAACTTCAAAATCGTTAAAATTCACGACTTCCGCCGTATTGCGCGGGTATACAACTAGTAAACTATTAAGGGGATGTTTATTTTTTTTTCTTTTCAAAATCCGACATAATAAACATACACATAAAAAGTTCCCATTTCTAAGCAATTTCTTTTGAAGTCCAGTTCTTTTTGTAGTTACATGTTTAGTCAACTTGGGGCTGTTTGACAATTGTTCAATAATTGTTTAGAAATGAAATTAGGGTGCAGAATGGTTAAGGGAGACCCAATATACAAAATCATTCAGAAGGTTTCAGAACTATTAAGAGACAAACTTTTTTTTGTCAAGCAAGATTCACCTCTTAGCAATTCGAATACGTCCTCTTAATGGAACTCTTAACAATTCAGAGATTGTCTCTTAATGAAACTATCAAGAAGTAAACAAACGGTCCCATACATCATAGATCAAAATAAAACGATTTTTAATATACTAATTTAAACATGAATTCAAGGTTTGAAATTGTTAGTTTGATTTTATGAAGTCAACCTTTTGACTAAAGATCCAAGAATAATGGAACATTTTTTTCATTGTATAATGTTGAATGAATCAATGTACACTTTTGAACATTAAACGTGAGATTGGGAAAATACAATCTATCCTCATCTTGATAAACCTTGATCAACTGATACGTGAACACTTCCGTTAACTGCTATATCTGATTCAATAAATATCTTGTTGTTCGAGATGTTACGCAGAATATATTTTGGGAAGACGTTACTTTCACTCGTCGTCAGTGTGTATTGCACAAATTTTATATGTCGTGGAAAGAGGAGTATTCGGTTAAAATCTATGGTCCATGAGGTACCATTACCGTGAACGACGCCTTTAGCGACTGTCGCCTTCAAATTCATCCCATTTACGTTGTTATTATCGACGATAATTTGATCGATAGTGTTGAATGCTCTGTTTCTTTCATCCAGTTGAACGATATCAATCCCTTTGTTTGATCCTGAAAACATGTTATCTACAATGTTTATCCCGTTTATAGTGCCATGAATCGATTTCAAGAGAATAAACGCATCCCCAAGGAAAAAGCATCCGGAAACGTGAAGTTGCACCGGATCTTCCGTCACAATCCCAGTGTAATCAAAGTAAGAATTAACGATTCTAGTTTGTGTAAGGCCGGGTAACTTTAGATATATTCCGGTACCGCCAAAACCAGTGGCCTTATTGTAGCAATGTACGCCACTAATAACATTGGCTTGCCCGGAGATCGTGATTCCAATAGCAGCCGAGAAAATGACGACGTCCGTGACGGCATTGTCGTTTCCGGCCAAATTGATGGCAGTACCACTGAAATTCCGTTCATGGGAGTCAGCGCCGGCAGTGATATGTTGCCCTAGGAAGGAATTACGAATGTAGGTCTCGTGACCGCCTTGGACCAAGATACCGTTTGTCGCAAAATGGGTAATGTAACAATTGTCGATGCTTGTTCTCAAAGCGTCGATCGCTCGAATTCCTCCTCCGCGATAATCGCAATCCAACATTATGTCTCGAAGCGTTATGTATTCGTAGTTGTATTTCTTATTTGAAGAAGACGACGACGTTGATAGATCTATCAAATAACTATCGGTTGAGAAATTATCAGATGCTCTCAATGTCCCACCGGATATCTGATACGTAACCATCAAAACATTTATTACGTCATCCATATTAATTATGATACAAAAATTAACAAATATAATATAATTCCTTTGATTATTTCTAGGAAGTTTTTTTTTTATATAAACCTGGATATCCAACCCATTATGCGAGCCGACTAATATCAGGACGACCACCTGCTTTGTAGATAACCCGGAGTCACTGCATTTGAACCTCCGTGGTCACAAGAGGATTTTTATTTCTCATTGGATTTGAACTTGAGACCTCCTGGTACTTTTGACTTTTGGAGTCAAGCTCAAACCAATCAGGTAATATTCTTGTGGTCGAAGTTTTTGGATCTTTCGATTAAAAAAACGTTTTTTTCCCTTTCAATTTTTATTTGACTAATTGACTTGTAATGGTCAAAAAACCCGTCAGAACGTATCAAATTTAGTCTCACTTTTGTGCCAAACTATCAATTTTCAACTTTAAAACTCACTTACCACGATGTTTCCAACTCCGGCCACCGGAAATTTCATTGGCCGGCTAATCTTGTAAATCCCTCCTTCAAGATTTATTTGTACGCCGCCGTGGTTGGTGATCCCCTCCATCAACAACCCATCACGTTCTTCCGTCACCGCATCCGATATCGCTCTAAGGATTGCGTCCGTGCTATCCGTTTTTCCGGTCGGGTCTGCCCCGTACGAGCTCACTCCATACACACGCGAACCCGACACCTGAATTTTTAAATTAAGTCGACATTTTTAAGATTTACATACAAATTATCACGACAAAATAAGGGACACGGATATATACTTACGGGTTTTGATTGAGAGATCGACGACTTGAGTTGTTGGAGTTTTCGTATTTGGACGTCGTGATCGGGGCTTAACGGATTGCCTGGATACGAGTATCCGACGTAGAGATGGTTAAGGATGATGAAAACAAGAAGTGGTAGTAGGTTCAGGGGTTTATAGAAATGAAAAGCCATTTGTGTTTGATTCAAAACATGAGACCACTCAGGTCATATATATATATATATATATATATATGTATATATACACACACACAAAGTGTGTATGTATATATTTGTATTATGATGTCATATATATTATGATAAAGATTTGGACATGGAAAGAGGAAGGGCCAACTAAGATCTCAAACTTATAACCAAATGGTTCATGCAGATACCACCCACATATACATCCATATACACATGTATGCATAATATATAGAGAGGTGGGTTAAAAAAGAGCTAAAAGAAACAACGAAGTTGATTTGAATCATCTATCTACTAGGTGTCTACTACGTGTAATGCAATGGGAGCCGTGAATTTTAACGATTTTGAAGTTTCATTAGTTTTATTATTGATGATTTAACAATGATTTAAAATCCAATATATTTAAAATCCAACATATTTAAACGATTCCACAAATTTGTTCGATTTACACCATCAAGAAATCGAGAGCGAGACCGAGAGTTCTAGAACAATTGAATGAGAGATGAATGGGAAAACTTTTAATAACTCATGATGAATATCAATTTGAATCTCACATTGGGGGATGAGGAGAAGACATAGAGGTATGGGAGGGTGAAGACATGAGTGAAATGTGTCAAAAGTATTTTGAGAACATGAAAATAAAAGATAATAATATGCATTGATAACTTGTTCTATATGTTATTTTAATTGTAGTTTAAGCGATCTTAAGACTGAATGCATAAAGTAATAGTACTTAATGCATTATGAGTTGTTTTTAAAACTTTGTGCATAAATGTATAGTACTTTGTGTATTAAAAATTGTTTTTAGAACTTTTGATAAATCCGGTTTATAAGGTAGTATAGATTTTAATCTATTTTTATGAAACATCAGGAAGCAGATTCATAAACAATTATATGAAAGTGAAAAGATGGAACAATTTCATTTTTACATGAAACAATTTCATCAAGAAAAATAATTACATTAAACAATTTCATTAGATTAAACAGTTTCATGAAACAATTTCATTAAATTAAACAATTTCATGAAAAAATTTCATCAAATTAATGAAATGATTTAGTTAAACAATTTCATCAAGATGAAAAATACATGAAAAAAATGCATTTTTACATTAAATAAAAATAATTACCATAATTAAATCATTGGCGAAGAGAATAAAAATAATACAAGAACACATTAACAAAATAGAAGAAAACCACAATTAAACATTTACCAATAAGAATTCCCAATAAATTAGGAAGTTGATAATTACCATCATTATTGGTAGCTGAATACACATGAAACAAACACATTGTGAAACAAATATATGTTAGTCAATACATTAAATACAACACACTTAGATGAAAAAAAATATGTGAAACAATACCTTCACATAAAAAATTCTCATGAATCTCATAAATTTTGGAGTTCTCAAATGATTAAGCCCCCAACACACATAAATATTAGAGACCCAACGTTCAGATTTTAGATGTGAAATATGAAGCTTTTAGTTATTTTGTTCATAATGAATGTCGGTGTTTGGGTTAGTTTTTGCATCTCGATTAATCGTAAAACACCCTAAAGTTAACAGCCAAAAAACCTTCTGTGGTTTTAAGGATATTCGAACTAGGAACTAAACAGTAGCAAACCTAATTAATACTTGACCAGTTGAGCTACTCCAATGGTTTTTTGAGTCGCTTTGTTCTTTGAACACTTGGTCTCGTAAGTCGGGGGATTATATTTTCTTGAAAGCAGAAGAAACTAAAAAAACAATGTTTTCATGTATTTTAAAAATCAAACGATGTACCGTTACAGTTTGACTGCACATAATATCATGACGACCAACCAACAACAGGTTACGATGCTTGCAACGTAGCATTACCTCATCAACCGTTCGTTACTACAAAATATACAACTTTTTTATTATTATTATTATTATTAATTTTGTAAAAATAATAATTAATTTACAACATAAACATGATGTATAATTCAAATTTAACGTGTTGTTCGTTAAGGGTTAACAAGTTACTTTAAAGATTGCAAACAAGATTGGAGATTGTGTAAACGACACATACATTTAATTTGTGTCTTACGAAAACGGAAATTAAATGAAAAGGGGTTTTGTTAACGGTTTTTGGTTGATTCATGATGATGGGTTTGGTGATGGCTTCCTTTCTTCTAACGCCATTAACACCTTCATCCCTACGCCACCAAATTTAATCAAAACCACTTTTTTTTTCCTTTATTAAATTAATCTTTATTTTTTTTTATAAAAGTAAAACAACTTTTATAGGGAAAAAAAACGATATAAACCGTATATAACCGCACCGCAAAACAAGGTTAAGAATTTTTACGATACGGTTTGCGGTTTGCATTTTTACCAAATCATGATATGTGTTGTGGTAAACTCTAATTCAAATCACATCACACATTTTATATTTTATATATACTAATTGTGTACCTGCGCAATGTGGCGGGAGCCGTGAATTTTAATATTTTAAAGTTTCGTTGGTTTTATTAGAGAAGATTTAACGATGATATAAGTTACACTTGATCTTTACATATTAATACAATTTGAATAAATAAGAGTTATGATTCTAATTACAGTCTATTGATAGAAAAAATTGTATAACAGTTTAAAATAGGAAGAGCATGAAATTCTTTTTCCTTTCCACAAGGACCAGGAGATTAGATCCCGTCGTGCGAGCCCCCCACTGGGGGCCCACTATGCCAAAAGCGAGAGGTACTCTCTTTAATTAAGAATTACGAGATTCATCATTCGAGGGGAAGTAGACTACTCAAGAATTTCACCAATATATTTAAAATCCAACATATTTAAACGACTCCACATGTGTTCGATTTACACCAAGAGCAAAGAATCAAGAGAGCGATACCGAGAATTCTAGAACAATTGAATGGGAGATGAATGAGAGAACTTTTAATAACTCATGGTGAATATCGGTTAATCTCATTTTGGGAGATATAGAGGTATGAGAGGGTGAATGCATGAGTGAAAGGTGTAAAAAATATTTGGGAACATGAAAAGAAAATGTAATAATGTGCATTGGTAACTTCTACTATATGTTATTTTAATTGTAGATTAACAGACTTTAAGACTGAATGCATAAAATAGTAGTACTTAATGCATTATGAGTTGTTTTTAAGACTTTGTGCATAAATGTATAGTATTTTGTGCATTAAAAATTGTTTTTAATACTTTTTGATAAATCTGATTTGTAAGATAGTATAGATATAGTGAAGGTAAAAAAAAGCCGAATATTCACGGCAAAAACACTGTGAAGGTTATATATATATATATATATATATATATATATATATAGGAGAGCGATCAAATGCAAACCACTCAATTTGTACAAACCATGCAAACCGTATTCAACCAATCATAATTTTTTATTTTGTTCATTTTTTTGTAATTATGAGAGGTTGATTAATCATTTTTATTGTGGAGGGTGTTAATCATAGATATTATCATCT